GTGGCTCCTTCGTCTGGCTGCAGCAGCAGTGGCAGCAGCAGAGGCTGTAGCCGAGGCAGCAGCAATGGGGCAAGATGGACGGCCGGCCGGCAAAAGTGAATGCAACGGATGCGAAGACATGCCAAAGAAGCATGGGCAGCCGGAAGCCCGCCAGCAGGAGGGGGTGTGGCACAAAAAAAAAACCCTGGAAGAACTGCGAAGGGGAGGCCAAAACTTGATGACTGCAGAACTGAACTGGACTTTGAGGGGGCGTGTGCACAAAAGCAGCAGCAGAACAAAGCCAACAAAAACTCGCGAGCAGCAAAAAGGGGGCAAAAAAAAAAAAGCAGAGAGAAAGCCCGACCCAGGCCGGCGATTTCATTTTGTTTGATTGTTTGATTTCTGCTCCGCGTCGTGACCAACGTCCAGTGCATTTTGGCGCTGCCGTTCGGCCGGCTGAAGGGTCTCCGGCGTAGCCTCAAGACTTTCCACTGCGGCCGGACCTAAACGGAAATCTGGCCCAGGCAAGGGGGCCGGAGTCTGTTGCTGCTACTGCTGCTACTGCTCCTGTTGATGATGAAAAACGCACTCGAGTTAAAAGGCTACGGTGGGTGTGGCAGCGGGGCAGGAAACCGGACATCAACCTGATCAGGGGCGGGGTGCTGCGCTTTGGGGGGTTGAACTCCGAGTGGGGTTGCAAATGAATCAAATTAAAATATTTATGGGGATAATCTGTCACTTGAAGAAGTAAATTATTGCACTGCCAAGGAGGGTTGCCGCACTAACATCCAACCAAGCACTTGACCAAAAAATCATTCAAAAATATAATTGGAAATCAATTAAAGTTTAGAAAAAAAGGATAACTAAATGTATGTCAAATAATTCTTAAGGATTAAGTAACAAAAATAAACGCTATTCTCTCTATTATATCGCTTACTGCCCGAAAAAAATGTGGGAATCTCCTACCAAGAATCAGTTGCATTGCCACTGCAGTCTAACTGCAGTTATCCTGCGAGTTAAAGGAGGGTGGGGTGGGAAGGGGTTTATCCTCAGAAGGACCGGAGACGAACCGGGCCAGACTGCCAGCATATTGCAATTTCGCAAATCAAACAAAAGGCAGCCGCAGAAAAAAACGAAAATAAAAAACAGAAACAGAACACCGCGAGGTATGAGAGAAGGCGCTCGACCAGAAGGACAATGCACGGGCCAGGATGGCACAGGACTCGAAGCTCAGGCCGCAGGACTCAGGACATAACAACTCGGCTAATATGCGTTGCACATGCAGCACGAGGTTCTTACGAGGATGAGACGCCGGTGGCAGAAACTTTTTTCATGACTCTTGTTTCGGATTCGGATTCGGCAGCGGCTCTGTTCCTGTTTCAGGATTTGGCTGGCCCCAGTTTGTTTGCCCAGCAAATGCATCCAATGCAATTTTCGGGCGCAAGTCCTTGCTGCAATCAACTTTTGCAGGAGAAGCCCGGGAAACCGGCGCCAAGGAAGGGGTTAAGCGGAGTGTTCGCAAGTCAATCAGTCCAAAAAAAAAAAGAACAGAAACTCAAAAACAAACAAAAAAAGAGGATAACAAAAAAGTCGCAAGCCTGCTAAAGTCCTTATTATCCTTGCATGTTGTCGGAGGAAAAAAAATGCAATATTGAATGCATTCGGTGCTGCAGCCACGCCCCAACCCCTCCCCCCAGGTCCTGTCGCTGCCACGCCTCCTCTATCAACTAAACGCACTGCAGCCGCAAAGAAATTGCGAAAATGAAACAACAAAAAAAAAAGGACATAAGAGTAGAAAATTGGGAAACGCGAGAGGCGGCGAATCACTCGGCGGGGGCTGCTAAAACGCGAGTGAGAGATTTTCAATTAAAAGGAATTGCTGCTCTATGTGGATTTTTGTGCTTATTAGCCAGCCTATCCTGCCACCCTGCTGCCCTGCTGCCGGTGCCGTGTCCTGCCGCCCACTTCCTAGCCGCATTTTCCGCAGGACCTAAAACCACTCGAAAGCCGTGCACATTTGGTAATCAATTTCTGTTGTTGCTGCCGTTGTTGTGCGGCGGCTGACTGACAATCTTTGCTAATAAGCTGCCCCCTTTGGGTCCTCCCCACTGACAGGATGTGTCTACACTGAGAAAAAACAATAAGAGAAGTCAGGATGCTACTAAAGCTGCTCCAATAGGTAGTATTCTAAGTATAGCTAAAATCTTTAGATTATGGGTAATGTTTTTTTAATCTTTTATCTCTATACAACAATTTTTCTCAGTGCATCACCACAGATGAGATGATGCACTTGCATTTATGCAGATTTCAGATTTCTGAATTGCGATGCCGAAATGCATTCTGTTTCTGTGCCTGGGCCCGCTGGTGCTTCTGCTGCTGCTGCTTTTCAATTAGGCCAATCCAAGCCAAGCCAAGATGAGGAGCAAGGGATTAGTTCCATCATTATCTATTCCCTATGTGGGCAGAAGTGTCGCATTAGGGTATGGGGTAGAGGAAAGTGCCGCATGAGCAAAATATTATTGACAATTCTTCGGGCCGACATCGGAACAATGCCATGTGGAATGCAAATCCTTCAGTCAGCTAATATTGTTTATCCCTAAGCAGTCCTCCCGGGAAGGAACAAAGCCGAAAACTATGCAAAAATATAACAAAACCATTGGCCAGGGAGGCAGAAAAAGAATTGAAACAGTGGAAACTGCGACCGAATCGAAAGGAAAACTCTTTCACAAAGGCAGGTAGAGCCGTGGATGGGGCTGGGGATGAATGGTTTGCTGAATGGATGAATGAATGGAAGGAACGATCTAACAGCCTTTGGTGCTGCCATGCAAAGTAAGTGCAAAGGATTTGGCAGGACCAAAGGGCTGAAGTGGCCGACAAATGATTGACAAAACTGCCAGCGAAAACTGTGAGAAAATCACTCGTTTTCTTGATGAAAAACAGAGACTTTTCCGCCTCAACCCGAACCCCTTCTCGGCGATGGCAGCTGAAAATTGTGATTCTTCCTTTATTGTCTGATGCATTTCCCTCATTTGGATGGCCATTGTTTGGTTTTTGATCAGAACCTGGATTTGACACTTTCCAAGGAGCAGACTCCCGTCTCCTTGGCCTGTCCTTGTTTGAATGGGTTAATTTGTGTATTTAGCCCCGAGGCAGCTGAATGTGGCTATTGAATATCGACATTTGAGTTCGTCGGCAATGAAACATAAACCCAATTAAGTTCCTAAGTCGCCGCACACAATTTGCAGCACGTTCGTCCTTACGTTGCATTTTGCACCTTTCCCGATGCGGCAACGACGCAAAAATGCAGATCACGACCTCAAGGATACGAAATCGATATGCACCCGCATTTCCATTCCCGACTACTTTGTCTGTCAAGATGCTGTCTTCTTTGACTTCTCCTGGCTCTGGAGTCGGAGGCGTCCATAACTCATCGAGGGCAATGTGCAAAAGTGCCTGTATCGCATATCCTGTGGCTGCTTTGTTTGGCCTGTATCCTTTTGTCGGGGCATCGAAGTCAGCTGCAGTTGCAATCTGTTTTTTCCGCATTCAGCACGATCAAATATTGCCGAAGACGGGCTGCTTTCTTTCCTTTTGGTGGAAACTGCATCCCGATCAGGTGGCGCGTGTCCTCTTCTGGCCAACTGTGATTTACCTGGGCTGCCTCATTGTGGCATTATTAGCAACTGCCGTGGTGCGCAGTCAGCTGGTGTGCGTGCCACGTGTATCCATCTGTCAGATACTTTTCCCCCAAGTCAGCCGCCTTATCGGTTGCATGCCGAATTACCCGCTTAGCCATTAACATGTCACTTTGGCCTACTTGTCTTTGGAGTTCGCAGAAGAAGCGGCTCCATCTACTTAATATGCAAATGCCTCTTGACTCTTTGCTGCAAGTGGGTGGGTTTCACAATTTTTCCCCTGCATATATCAATTCCAATGTCGAGGTGAGCATAGGCCACCATCTCGTATTGGGGTCTATATTTCTTCTATTTTTAAATCGTCATCATCTCCATTTTCAATTCGCAATCTCAAACCCAAAGAAGGGAAACGTGCATTTTGAAACTGGATATTGGATACTGAATACTGGGAAGGCAAGGCAAGGCAACGGAATGGCCGAAAGCTTTTTAATTAAGCAATGTCCTGCCTTAAAGGAGGGCGGATTGCGGAATCGAGGAGAAATCAGAGAAAAACTGTTATTATAATCATCAGCCGAAGCGCCGTCTACGGCCCCGTTCGTCGCCTACTTTGTCATTATAATTTTCATTTCTTTCGTCCGTTTCGGCCAAAGCGATGAAAGGCAGAAAGAAATTTTTGCGGGCCAAAAGAAATGCATTTTATTATTACTGTTACTTGTTACTTGTATTATTTGTTGTGGCTGTGACTTTTTTAATCACAAACCAGTAATCGGATGGGTTTGTGGGGTGGCAAGAGGCCAGTAAACAAACTGAAGGGATGGGGGCCATTGTGAAGTCGGGTGCTTTGTCCAAGAAGGTTCTTATTGGTGCTCTACCGATACTCCGGCCGGTCGGCTACTCCTACACTTGATGAGATACTTTCGGCCGACGACGAATGGGGAACTGCCATTCCAACCACCGCACAAGAAAACCCACACCAATGCCTGAGCAGCCGAAGACGTTACTGTGTATCTGTGAGTTCTTGTATCTGTATCTGTTCGCGTTCGATAACAAATTCGCCGCAGAACCGAAGACGAGCCGAAGCATTGTTGTGGTCCGATGCCATTCCCCTTCGCAGTTACTACGTCACAGCGGTGACGTCACGCCTTCAAGAAACGCTCAAGGAAACGACCTTCAGCGAATGAGTGGAAAGTGAAGAAAGGCAAGCGACTGAGTAAGAGCATGCCACTTCGGACTGAGGAAGAGCAGGTAATGGAGGAAGAGCAAGGAGAGGAGCAGCAAGATGGCAAGAAGACGCTCTTCGCTCTCTCACTCTCTTCGCGGAGATTGTCTCAGACCTGTCTTTGGGATTGGGATTCTCTCAGTGCGAAGCACACCAATACAGTCTTAGGTTCGCTTGCCTGCCTTCGCGCCCGGGTTCAGTGCGTTTCAGTATCTTAAAGTATCTTGTATCTTGAAGTTCGCTCTCGTCGTTTCGCAGCCCGCGTCGTGCAGATACAGATACATTTCTGGATTAACGCTAATTCGTTTTTGATTGCCGCCAAGGGGGGGATCGCCAATGGACCGTATGGAGAGTAAGTAAAGTGTGTAATTAGCGCGTTGAACGATATTTTGGATTTCGGTTTTTGAAACACTTTGACGATATCTGTGCAGTTCGATAAGCAGTTCTGTGGCAAGATCCCTTGAGACTCCCATCCTCTTCTGAAAAGTAGGGGGGCGTTCATTTGGGCTTTTGTTATAAAGAGGCGTTCTACTAATAGCCTTATACCTTGGGGGATTTGACAAAAGAAACAAGGTCAGACAATGGAGCAAGTGTATCTGCTGCATCTTTGTTGTATGGTACGAGTATCTTGTATCTCGAGAATGAGTTTCAGACACCAGGGGCGCCCGAAGTTCCGAAAGTCAGCGATGACTCAGAGGAGAGTTGGGAAAAACAGGAAAAAAAGAGCCAGAGAACCAGAATCAAAATAGAAGAAGACAAGGCCAAAGAAGAGCCCCAAGGAGAGGTGCTCAACAAAAAAAGACCTAAAAACAAGCTGAGAACAAGAAGATCCCATGGGCAGAGAGAAAAACAAAGACCCGCATATGTTGACATGTGTTTGTGTCTTGGGAAAATGGAAAAAGGGGGGAAACAGGGTGGTAGTCAAAGGGGCAATGTCGGGGGAGGGGATGCGGTCGCAAGTAGGGGGCAACCTTAGGTGGGGTGCATTGAACTTGATGGTGCAAAGTAGAAAGAAGCAAAAGTAGAGCAATTAAAGTCCCTCTAACTGATCTCTAGTTCCGAGAATTAAAACAAGCCAAGCTAGGGACTTGTTGTTTTTGTTTTTCCAGCAAATTTCCACACATCATTGTTGTTGTTGTTTTGCGAAATGCTGAGAAGAAAAGAGAAAGAATACGAGGCGAAGAAAGGTTGGCAAAAATAACAACAAAGTAAAGACCCGAAAGTGGCAGCTGCAATTGCGAGTATTTAACAAAATTTCCAAACACACACACAGACTTGTACAAATACAATAAAGAGCAGGCAGGGGGAGGAGGTAGAGGAGGCCGGGAGGTAGAAAGAGAGACAGGCACACACACACATGCAAGAAAAGGAAACGAAAAGGAAGCGAAGAGCAAGAGCAAAAGGAGATGGGACAAAAGGTAACTGCAAAGGCCAGTCTGGCCAGCAAAACAAGTCAGCAGGATCAAGGACACACAGGCACACAAGCACTCACACACATACACACACACATGCATCAAGGAGCAGGCAAGGCAACAACGAAAACCTGAATTCGTCACACGCACCCGAAAAGAGAGCCATGCCAGCGAATGAGCGAGAAAAGAAAAGGCAGATTAAGGACCCGTTTCCTTTGTATTGGGTTTATTATTTTTTTAGTTTAACATTCCCCTTATGGTTAGGTAAAATCCATTAGGGTAGTTCCATCCTAGGTAAAGGACCCTCTTCGCCCTTTGAGAGTGCATAGGTAGGCCGACAGCAGGAGATCGCGCTAGGATATGCAAAAAAAAATAAATTTAATAGGGAAAGGAGACTAAAGAAAATGATTCAGCACAAAGGGAAAGATTAGGTCGGGTTCTAAAATGCGAAAATGCATTGTTGAGGGAAAATGAGGAAAATTACTTATTGCACAGTAGGCCGAAAACATGGAAAAATACTATAAAATGGATTATATGGGCAGAAATAAATAAATAACAATATGATTGAAAACTCATTTAATTAAATTTATCTTTATTTTACGTGCAAAAATATTACAAAATATTTTATAAAAAATGTATTAAAATATTAAAAAATCACAGTTTTGAAGACAATACTTTGGAGTTTAAAAAAATAGGAACCATTCTTTATAAATCCACATATGTATCTATATAGAGAATCCCCAACCATACCATATATACATACAAAATCCCCCAAGTGATTGAATTTTAAAAAATTTTTGATATAAGCCATGTCCTATATTTTTTCCAAGTGTACTCACTATCGACTTATGAACCTAATTATTTTCCCAATTACTTGGAACCAAGTTTCCCTTTCGAACCCTCAATGAGTTTCCAATTCCGACTTCAACCTCTCAATAATGTTCCTTTTCTGTTTTCTCCCCACCAGGAGCCAGCTGCTGTTGATTCTCATTGCCGAGAAGGAAACCGAATACCACCAGCTGGATACAAACATCCTCGCACCAACAGCCAGGACGAGGCACACGATCGCATCGAATCGAAGGATCAAACAAAGGACTCGTGCCACACAGCCAGACAAGGGGGTTGATGATAGCAGCGCCTCCTAAAGACTTCCAGCCCATGCGGTCGGGGGTCGAGACAAAGTGATCCTGCCGAAGGACAACGCCGCACTCTTATCAGCCATGCATGGCAGAGGGTTGAAAACGGGAACTCGCTTCTTATCTTAAAGCTCGGGAGGAGGGTGACAACTAAATCGAGCAGATGTGCAAACAACACGGAGCTCGGATGACGGATGACTGACGAAAAGCCAGCAATTACACCTTGAGCGATCGCAGGGGAGGGGGGAGTACAGCGAAGCAAAAAAAGGATCATCAGGCGCGTGCCCAGCACACTCGGATTTCCCAGTTGAAATTTTGCTGGGCAAGTAGTCTTGGCTTGGCAAGCTTCAAAATTTGATGTTTAATAATGTCGGTGGAGAACAGTTTGGGAGTTCTAGACTTCAGTCTGGCTAACGAGAGAGCGGCGAAAACGGCGTCGGGAGTCGACAAATCAGCAGGAGCAGCAGCAGTTGCAATCCCATACCACAAAACCACTGGCAAGGAGAACGAGCCGGAGACCGTTGCCGCGCTTCTACCGGATTCTGAGCCCGTCACCGATCTTGATCTCGACACTGAGCACCTGGGAAGGGGCAACATTCTGACCACGGGTGCTTCAGCACAGCCAGCCACGCCAAAAGCCGCCGTTGGTGTTACGCCCACTTCTGCCACGGCGTCGCCAAAGTCTGGGCAGGATGTGGGCGACGGTGGCTGCCTAAGCCAGCCGCAGGGAAACACAGAACTAAAATTCCAGTCCTATGTGAACGGAAACGGGAATGGCGTCTACAAGATCATCAAGACGCTCGGAAAGGGAAACTTTGCGAAGGTCAAGCTGGCCCTGCACGTGCCCACTGGGCGCGAGGTGGCCATTAAGGTCATCGACAAGACGCAGCTGAACACCAGTGCCCGGCAGAAGTTGTACCGGGAGGTTAAGATCATGAAGCTGCTCAACCATCCGAACATAGTACGTCTCTTCCAAGTGATCGAGTCGGAACGGACGCTATACCTGGTAATGGAATACGCCAGCCGGGGCGAGCTCTTCGACCACCTGGTGAAGAACGGCCGGATGCGAGAGCGGGACGCACGGGTGATCTTCCGCCAGTTGGTCTCAGCTATTCAGTACTGCCACAGCAAGTTCGTGGTGCACCGGGACCTGAAGGCCGAAAACCTGCTGCTCGACCAACACATGAACATTAAAATAGCGGACTTTGGATTCGGCAACACCTTCGATCCCAATGCCCAGCTGGAGACGTTCTGTGGGAGCCCGCCGTATGCGGCACCGGAACTTTTTATGGGAAGAAAGTACGCGGGACCGGAAGTGGATGCCTGGTCCTTGGGCGTGGTGCTTTACACTCTTGTTAGTGGGTCCCTGCCTTTCGATGGAGGCACGCTGAAGGAGTTACGTGAACGTGTTCTGCGAGGAAAGTACCGGGTTCCCTACTACATATCCATGGATTGCGAGAATCTAATGCGCAAGTTCCTGGTCCTGAATCCTGCCAAGCGGACCTCGCTCTCAGCCGTCATGTCCGACAAGTGGATCAATCTGGGGCACGACGAGAACGACCGGCTGAGGGCCTACCGAGAGAGACCCATGGAGCTGCAGGACCCCGCCCGCATGGACATTCTGGTGAGCATGGGCCACAAGCGGCGCGATGTGGAGCAGTCCGTGAAAGGGCAACTTTTCGACGACATCTACTGCACCTACATGCTTCTGGGCGTGGCCAAGCCTCGCTCCTCCGGCAGCCGGATGACCAAAGCGGAGCAGGCGGCCGCAGAGTTGGGCGTGGGAAGTCCGTCGGTTACCCAGCCACCGAGCCAGCCCTCAATTACCACGCCCACGGTGACCATAGCTCAGGTGACACTTGCCCTCGACCCCAAGAATGGAGTTCCAGCGACAGCGGGAGCGTCTCGTCCGATGCCCACGCGCCTTCCAAATCCCATGGCCACGCCAACTTCCACTTCCTCGCCAGGACCGCCCGCCAAGCCCACTCGCCGCACACCCGCCCGCAAGACAACCACCACACCAGCACGCCAGGAGCCCACAACTCCGCAGACCAAACGAGGAGCAGCCGCGGATGTGAAGCCAACACTGCTAAGTGCCCAGCGTCAAATGGCCCAAACGCAGAAGATGGCCAACACGCCGACCAGGTTTAGTTACGCCAACGCGCAGACCCCGCAGCCTAACCAGGGCTCCCGCCGGCCCACAACTCTCTATGAAAAGGGCGAGTCGGCGACCGCCACGCCCCTTTTGGTTCCAAAGTCCCCAGCGATTGGCGGACGACTGATGGAGCGGATTCCTGGAGCGGGGGCCGCTGTGGTAGACAAGTCTTCCGAAAAGCCCTTCACACGACACAATGTGGCACGGGCCACCTTCCATTTTGGCCAAGGACGCAACGGCAAGAGAGGCGCCAATAGTGGAAACGGCGCAGGGGGAGGTAGCGGAGCTGGGGAGGAGGACGGCTACACTCCGCCTCTGTCCGCCGACGACACCAAGCCCGCCTCGCGGGTGGGCTTCTTTTCCAAGTTGACGGCGCGATTTGGGCGACGGGTGATCCAGCTGAACGAGAAGGATGTCGCTGATCAGCGAAAGAACCTCACCAAATAGCCAGGATCAGAAGACCCAGTTCCTGCCCCATTGGAGAGCAGCGATCAGTCCCCGAGGATCGATCTTATTTTGTCTAGTTGGTATATTTTATGAAAGCGACTAAAATATAGTATATTAAATGTTGACTTAAAATGTGTTATGTGCCGGAGTGATCGGGTTTTAGATAACTTTTGAAAACTTTTGCTTTTATATCTTAATTTTATTAAGTTCTAATAAGTTAGTATAATATTTTTAAATACAATTTGAAAGAGAGTAATATAAATGGAAAGTTTTTTGTCTGGGAGGGTGGGGATTACAAAAAGGACATAAAAAGTATCTCAATTAAAACTTTAAAACCAAGACTAAGAAGAATATGTATATAATCAGATTTAAAAAACAATAAACTATTTTCTCATAAACTGACATGTGACATGATTATTAGAAGAAAACTAATCACAAATAAAACAAAAAACCATCCAAATGGGTTCGAATTCTCAAAGGGGTGAACAAGTAGCAATTTTGCTTGCGTGTTGCATTGGCATTAAGTGGAGCGGTGAGAGTGATTGGGAGGGGGCAGTCGGCGGTTCCGACCAGCAACATGAAACCGCAATCATTTTGCACTTTTAGAGGAAACAACAATAAACAGCGAGACTAACTAAAACCCAAAATAGTCGGAGGGGTAATTCGAAGGCGTCGAACGGCGGAAGGAAAAGGCGTTCTCAGGCGAACATAACAATATCCGGAAAGTGACCAATAAACGGGAAATTCCGCTGAAGGGGCAATGTTTTTTTTTGTTTTGTCTTTTGGTGGGAACTGAGTTGGGAAAATAAGGATCAGGGGGTGGGTTACCTGGCATAGGGGTGGTTGAGGTTCCGGCCAAGGACTGATTAGACCCATTGGGAACGGAAGCAGAGCGTTTAATTCGTTAACCGGCGGAAGAAAGGTGCCAGGAAAAAAGTAACAGGTCGCACATAAATTAGACGACCGGGGAGTGCATTTTAGCTAATGGAACTACTGCCAACCTTCCGCCCCTAGCCTGATTAACCCCTTCCCGGGAACAATGGGTGATAAGATTGGGCCAAAACCGAAATGCAAACAAAAGTACTCGCCGCGTATTTGCATGGGACTAGAACGGGGCAGAGCTTCGATTGTTTGCTTTAAGGGTAAACCACAATCCCATTTGCTATCGATATGGAAAAAGATATATACTACGTGGGCATATAGATGGTGCTGATAAATCGAAATAATACTTGAAGCAAATAAAAGTGCCTATGCAAACAGGTCGAGTCAATAATTTAACCGAAAGCACACGCCATCGATTAGATAAAGACAGGCGACAGTCGGCAGTTGAGGTTTATCAAGGACTAGCCTCCACGCGATAAGATATAGACCCCATTATCCAACCAGCAATCCTTCCGTTTCCACTCACTTAAACCCCCATTAGAACGCCCCGAAAGTATGTTAAGGAAAGTGTCTCGAAGGACCGGAAGTCCCAATAAGAAAACCATCTACTCCTAATCAGAACAAAGAACATGGCTAATTTGCGGCAACAACTCGTAACGAGCATGTAAATGAAAGTTGAACTGTAACTGTTATTCGGTTTGGGGGTTAATTGGGGGTGGGTTATTGAAGTCTTCGTTTTGGGCCAGCACCGCCTTCAAGTGTCTGCCGGCAACGCCTTGAGTGTGACTTGGGTCTTTGGCCACCCACAATTATGTCAATAGCCAAGTTTCCAGGACCTTCCTTCCGAGGCACAGATTTTCGTAGTCTGTGTTGACTGTCGCCGGTTGTGCCACCATCTGGCTTTCCACCGATATTTTCCGGTATTGTTTGTTCTGGGTAAATATTTTACGGCCCAAGAAGTGCCACAAGAAACTGTTACTGAGCCAAGGGGCTTAACCTGCCCAACGGAACGTCAAGTGGGGTCGTTGTTGTCGTTTTCAGCTCCTTTTGATTTTTCACATTTTTTCCTCCACTTCGCCGGCCGCCTTTTGTGGTGGCTTAAGAAACATTTCCCAGGCTTTTCAGATTGTTTTTTCTTTTTTTCCTTCGCCTTTTCTTCAGCATTGTTCTGTTCGCGCTTGCCAATTAGCCCGATGCGATTTCGAATGTCCTTTTCGTCGCTTCCCCAGCTCCTTGAGCGGCAACCCTTAATTAATGGCTCGCATATACTCGAACATATACATTTCTCAACTTCCGTCTCAGCCTGGGCTTAGTTCGACAACTATTTCGTCTCATTTTCTGCCTGACTTAAGCGCTTAATAGTTTTCAGTTTTTGCCGAATATAGTTTCCAATCTGCAAGGTCCTTCTGCTGTCCTCCCAACACCCCTCCAACCGTTTATTGGTGTGTCTTCTTTGCCTTGCACTTTTCTTGCTCAAGTCGAAACTTTTTCTTATTGGAAAGGGTTTGAAACTTTGCTTGTTCCTGCTGGTTGTTTTTTGTGGTCACCCGGCAGTTAATCAATTTTTTGTCCTTTTTTTCCTTGCCATAGATTGTGTAAAAAGTTTAGTCTACAAGTATGTTATAGGAAAGACTTTTTGTGGTTGGGTGCAAGGGAAAACTTTTAATTAAGAAAACCTTGAAGTGATTTATTGATTAGAGCTCTCGGCCGGGTCAAACTTTCTGTGGTCGCTGCCCCATCCGCTGTCTCTTGGGAGGAGGTTCTATTATCTTGCCCTGAAGACGGGACAGCCAATGAGAAGCTCCTCCAACTTCAGGTTAATCAGTACAGAACGGACCCGGGGGTTCCCCTTCGACTAGAGAGCTCTGAAACTGAAGCTCAGCCAAGCGATGATGAGTCAAGTCAACAAATGCGAAGCGCGGCGAAATCGATTCTCTGTCTCTGTCTCTGTTCCGCTGGAGAAAATGGAAAAATACCGATTCGCTGCTTACGGAAGCGCAAAGAAATACACCCACTACCCCGACCCCAAAGCCTAGAACTTACATTGACGCTGCTCAACTGGCAGAACGAAACTTTGGACCCAGCCCCCTCCGACGAACGGCGACTGATGGGCAGAAACTTTTGTGCCAGCATTATTATTACGGAAAGCAGGCTGCCGGCCAATACGCAGTAAGACATAAAGTCGAGGAAACAACAAACAAACAAAATGGTGAGCACTTCCGCCCGAAAGTAATTACCAGAAGTCGGTGGATGTAGGTGCTGCTCTGTAGTGGCTAGAGTCGGTAGTTGGTCTGTGCCGCGCATTTCACGCCTCCGCCCTCGTCGAGCTGTCACTGTTTTAATTGTAAACAATATAAAGATAATCACAGGCCCGAAATCTGTAACTCAGGTGTAGCCAGTGCAGAGACCAGAGCCCAGAACCGAGAGTTCTTGGTGACACATGCCTCCACTCGGCACCCACTCCAGTTCATGCCACGCCATGCCACTCCACTCCACGCTGGCCAGCGGAAGTGTTGCCGCACAACAAAAAAGCGGAACTACTCTTGAAAGATTTGCGTTGGACAGAGGCAGCCGGCACCGACAGTGCCACCTTCTACCTGGCCTCACCTGTTCTGTCTCTGTGGCTTTTCATCAGGGGCATCAGGTATCGGGGAAAACTTTCGCGGGGCTGAGGCTGTGGCCGAGGCTGATTCTGTCATGAAATGTTGCCCCTCGCATATTATTAACGTTTTAATACGTACTTGCGCTGCCTCGGCCACTTTGGTGCGTGCTACATGGCCGGGGGATACTGGATGTGGATGTGGATGTGGCAGGGCGGACAAAAGACAGGGGACAGACTGTGACGTGGAGAGGGTGTGTCTCAACCACTTGTTGTGGACCGAAGCACGTGGGAAAGTGGAAAGCGGCAATCGAATGCGAATGAGACCATTAAGCTTCCGTCTTTCCGCTTGGGAACAATTCGAATAATACTCGTACATAATTATTAGACTATATATTATGTTTGATCTTAAAATATATTAACCTTTTCATTTAAGTTTTTAAAAAGACTGATTTTGTTTGAAATGGAATCTGTCAAGTCACAGAAATTGATTATTATTAACTAATAAATTTTATAGATTTTTCAGACATATGGATATCGTTTTTAAATATCTAATCATAATTCTTTCATTAATCTTTTATTTTAAATGACATTTAAATGATTGGCCTATCCAAAAAGAATTAACAATTAAATTATAAACTGCCAATTGTGGTGTATTATTGTTTATTTCGTAATTACTGTCAATGAATGTTTTGAGTGTAGCTCTGAGCCTTGGCATGACTAGTGCAGTTTAAGTCAAGCGATCGAGATAGCTCCAAATATAGCCAGATTGGACCGGAGGGTGTTGCATTTGAGAGACATATGAGACATATCGGACATACAACAGATCAACTCGGATCGCCTCACGCCAAGTTCTCGTGCATCCGGTCGTCTGGTTTTTTGCTTTTGCTTTTTGGGGGTTGGGCTGAGGCTTGATTCGCCATCGCCATCGGATTCGCAGTCGCCTGCTTGATGTTTATGTAAGTCTATAGCGAATAACTAATGGATCTGGCTCTCTGTGTGCGTGTCCTCTGTGTTCTGATGGTCTGGTGTTCCCATCTCTAGATACTAGATACTCGGACCCATGGCTACTAGTAGATGGCATCGCACAGATGCTAACCGTCGTACCAACTAGCACTCGTAGTACTCATGCATGGCGCGCACCAAATACGAAATAAATTACACTTGATTATCTTGTTGCTCGTCTGGCTGCTGCTCCGCTGACCGCTGATCTGTTGCAATAGTTTGTCCATGTCCGAAATAAACGAACAAAAAAACAAGAAAGCTTAAGTTTGGATCAAGCAACGAATATTAAATGCTCTTAGAATTATAGTTTTGAGGTATGATGTCAAGATATTTGTGGGGAAAAAATGGGGGAGCTGATCTCTTTAAGGCTATCAATATTTTTAGAGTGAAGCTTTAGTAAAATTAGGTTTTACTGAAGACTTTAAATTATAAAATCCTTAAATCCATAAATCCTTACATATTTTATAAAATATATAAAAGTACACTAAAGTCAGTCAAAAGCTTTGTTAAATATTTGCAACAAATAAGTATAAAAGCTTTGTAGATTGGTACTTTTCTATTATACTATTATATTTAATATTCATACATATGTTCTTTTGTAGATTTTAATGTATTTTAATCTTTAACTATATGATGAAATTAAGTCTAGTCTAATATATCTAGTAATATAATATATTTCCTTTTTCCCCTGTATCATAACCAATCTAAATATGAGGACTACCCTTCACTGAGATTAAAACATTGCAGAGTAACATGGACATTTTGTGATATTCTACAAGTCATTTGCTGACTTAATTTCCACTGCTCGAAACGAAATAGAACGAGCCCGAGCAGAATGTATTAGTCGGTGGGTCCGACTAGCCTACCCATATAGATTGGGGGTGATGGGGATGGGCAGTGGGTTGGAGTGGGTGGGGAGACAGCTAAGCGCGATAGAACCGCGACATTTGCTCAGCGAGCCGTGCAACTTTGGCCGCCACTCAAGTGAGCCCTGCCATTGGCCGGCACAAGTCAGATATTGCTCCGGATCGGGCTGTTCTATATACTATATGCGGCGAGTGTGTGCTTTATTTAATTCCAGATAATCATTGCGACTTGTTGCCTCGACATCGCCGCTGCCGATGCCGCTGTCTCTTTCTGCTTCTGTACCAAGTGCTGTCACCGGCGCGTTTTTTAGGGTAATTTTCTTTTTGCAATTGAATGAATTTGCGTTTCGGTCCGTCCAGCTCCCCCAGCCCCAGCCCTGCCCCAGCCCCTGCCTCTTTTTATTGTTTGGCTTCAATAAGAGATTATTCGAGGGCCAGCTTGGCTGTTAGATGTATATTTAGATGGTTGCGCTCAGCTGCATGGTAGAAATTTTCACTTCCGTTCTTAAAACGATTTCCGGCCGACCGTCGACCATCAGAGGAGTTGGCCGTGCATGGCGACTGGGATTCGGAAACTTTCTACATGACATTTCCACCTGGATGCTGGTCCAAAGTTTTCCACAATGTGCTAAATATTTCGTTTGGCTTCGCAGCCGAGAAACTTTCTTGGTAGCGAACAAAACAAAACTTGGCCACCGCCCTGGGTAGTGGGGGTAGCTGAGAGTCTGCTCCCAAGGACCACAAGGCAGGGCATTGTGCGCCTAAAAGTCAACTTTAATTTTGCATTTTTCATAAGTAGCCTTAGGTGCACTTACTTAGGCCGGCACAAGAGCAGTCGAATGAGAAAAGAAAGCCAAGGGGGAATGTTGCTGCTGCACATGAGCAACTCAAGCAGTCGGGCCAAAGTTCCCTTTCTGAGTAAAATAAGCGAAAAGAACAGGAGGAAAAATAAAGGATGCAGGATGCAGGACAATGAGAAATGAGGGGTCATACACTGTGTTTATGCCGTAAAATCATGATATCTTGAGTTTTTGTTTTTAAGGGGAAACTTGAAACAAGAACATTTAATTTGTATTTGGTATAAGATTAAGTTAAGGTTCTTTGAAAAATGTTTTTAGATAAGTTATTATAATAAAACAAGAAAACAAAATTGATTTTCTGCTGAAACCGAAAAGGTAATAAATGAAACGCATTTTATGGGGTAAGTCTTGAATTAGTTATACAAAATATTTTTATAAATTTAGGTTTGTTTCTCATAAACTTTGTCTCAACATTCAAACAAAGCATAAGTATAAAAAACATAAGTATAAACAGCAACAAACTCATTTATGTGGCATCGAGCTGGATAATAACGAGTCTGGGAAATGGAAAATGCTTAAGACTTGCTTCCTTCTATTTTGTCGCCTAAGCTGAAAATAATTGCAGCCTGCTTGTAAATCCAACAACTAGCGGCGTCTGCTGTCAGCAAAAGGATAACACGGCGCATCATTACACACACACACATACACACACAAGTACGCGTATAGATGTAGGAGGGCATACACATGCAACTTCAGCAATTTCCGTTTCCGCCGCTGCCACTGCCGTTGCTGTTGCACTCGTTCCTTCTAACTCAGACTAGTCTGTTTGCCTTTTTCTTTCCATTTTTATTTTTAGCTGCAACAGCGGCAAGCGGAGAATCAGGAGCAGCGGCGGCAGCAAGGAGGAAAGTCAAAGAAAATGTCTGCGTGAGGGACTGACTTGGTAGGAGAAATTGAAACGGACACGGGCCAGCTCATTCGCTCGTTGGGTTCGTCTCTGTCTGGCATCTGGGCATCTGGCATCCAACGTCAGTTTTCTTTGCCATTTCATCTTAAGTAGCACACAAATAAACAAAAGCAAACAAGCACTGAGCACTGAGCTGAGGGGATGGAGTCCTGCAGTCCTCACAAAGGCGCCTCTCCATATGGCAGCACTTTTCGATTAAGGATACTCGCCCTCATGTTCGTATGTATGTCTGTGGGTGCGGGTGTGTTGACTTTCTAATTAAAAAATGAAGTCCACTCTGGCACAAAGGCGTTTCATTAGACCAAGACCGGACTCAGACTTAAAGTTAAAGGATAAACACTGGAGGAGTATTACTTGAAGGAGTCGACTTACCAAAATTTAAGCGGCTTTCTCATTGGATAACTTCTCGATATGGTGTAACCTGCAATTATAAAGCAGACAATTGCACAAGGCGCAACGTAATTGGGAGATTAGTAATTTGATCGATTATATCAGATGGTAAGCTGAAAAATTTCTTTTTTTCGGGGATTCAAAAGGGAGGCGTCAAGTTTCTACCTAAGCTTATAAATCATTTTTTAATATCCTATCAAATGCGAGTTATTTTTATAGATTTATCAGGTTAATATTTATCATAGTTTGATAATATTTCAAGTTACAAGCTGCAAGTAAAATTAAAAATAAGTATTATATAAAAAAACTTGTTCTTTAAAATTAAGGATTTGAATGTATTTTAAATTAAAAATTCTTGCTAAGACAAGGATGAAACAAACTTAAAACTTGCAGCTTCTAAAATTATATCTCGACATTTTTCAAAATCAAAACTAACTAAGCTAATTATTTCTGCTATTCAAAAGAATTTTATATTTTCTATGATCTGTTTGATCTGTTTTTAGACAAGGATTGGAAAATGTTTTTAGGGCTTTTTGTTTGTTTGTTTTTTTTTTGTTTGCATTTTTGCACCAATACCAGCGATATTTTACCCTTAATTTAAGTTACATAGCCAGTGGCGAGAAGGTGGCGAGCCGCTTCGCCCCGTTTCAACGTCGATGGCTGGCGGCGGCAGTCCCCGATGAGCGGGACTGGACCGCTGCCAGGAGCGGGCGGGAACAGTCGGCGGACTGCTCCGGCCGCTGATGATTCAAAGATGGCATACTCGGAGGAAGACGGCCGGGCCGCATATCTCTGGCCGGGTAGAGTCGTTGAGCACAGGTTTTGGGACAATTTTTCATTTGGGGGACAAGGGCCGAACACACTTCACTCAAGCGCTGCGGTCAACGGGAGCGGGTCGGGTCGGGTTGGGTCAGGGGTCACCATCATTCACTAATCGCGCATATTCAATTCTCTTATTATTTTTTCAACAGCCGCGTGGCATGCTTCATGGGCTGAACAACACTTGTCGCTTTCTTTTGAGGCACACCGCAAATTATGCCATACAATACACTGTTTCAACTCATTTCCGGTTTGTTGGGTTTTAGTTTTAGTTTTAATTTGAGTTATTTTTGACAATTAAATTATCGAGGGTTTTCGAAAAGTTTGTTGCCGCAGCGCTTCTCATTTTACAAGTTTAATTTAGAATTTTGATCATATTTTCGTTATTAGCTTTAGTTTTTTGTTGTGTTTCTGTGCTTCTGATTTTTTAGTTTGTTTTAAATTTTAGGCTAGACTTTAAATTTCTATTGAGAAAAAGAAATAGGTTTTAAAATAAATGCTTTACAAGTTTTTAATTAGGAGCAAATATAAAAAATAAAATATTTTCTAATTTTAAAACAAATTATGTTTAATAAATAACTTAAACAAATATTAAAATTACGATTAATTATAAAACGAAGAACGTTTATAATTTTGTTTAAATATACAATTATACAAATGCAATTATACAAATTTGTTTAAATATATAATGATAGATTAAGGTATTAAAAACAATGAATTGAAATGGTGTAATTGTATAAATTTATTTTATTATTTATTGTTATATTTTATTTATTGTTAATATTCTTCACACTGTTTTATTTCCACACATTATCTATTTATTTAACTTGTTTGCTTTTTGGGGTATTATCCCCATTTGGGTTTTCACTTCTTTCACATTAAGTGGCAAGATTCTTTAGATTTGTTCAAAACAATTAAATATTATATTCCAGGAATAAGAGGTCCTGGCAAACACCTGAAACCTGGCACGTACCATCGTCGAAGTGAACTACTAACGGGTGACTGGCAAATGGGTGACTTTTGAATTTAATTTGGTTACTGCGATGTTCTGATTCCCCAACAGAATGAACCTTCTAACTGGCGGCTGCTCGAGTTCCTACTATTCCTATAATTTCCTATTCCTATTCCGAGTCTGGTGCTCTGCTGCCGCGCTGCTTTCGCTGCCAGCCAAGACGATCAAATGTCTCACAAGAAACGAAGCCCCAAAGCTTTTATATTCGGCTCCGAGTGTCTCGCAGTGTGTGTGTGAGAGTATTTATATAAAATTAGGCACGACTCGGCGTTTCTCAACTATATAAGTATTGCCTGCTTGGAGTCTTGATAGCTCTGGGTTTGTGTGTGTGTGTGAGAGTCCTGAATTGAAGTGTGTGTGTGTTGGTTGCTGACAAAGTTGAGCTGAGCTGCGGCGAATCTGAGGCGCCTGCTGCCTTGGGCGTTTTAGATAATTTCCTGCCAAGTTTTTCCCCGTCAAAGCCAAGACAGCGGTGCCTGCCAATGCGCAGGCAGGATAATTGCTGGCCAACATGTCGTATGCGCAATGTGGCCACCAATGCCGCAGCAACAGCAGCAAGTGGCGTCTGCCCTAGTGTGCGGTATGTGTGTGTGTGTGTAGCAAGAATTGGTTGGCTAATCGGGCGCCTAAAACACTCGGCCCAGCAAATAATAGAAGGCGCCGCAAGTTGCACGTACCACAAGACACAAGCGACACTTGAACTAATTGAGGAGGATCTCTGACTGGGTTCGATGAGCGAGACGAGACGAGACGATTGGCTTAGGCTTAGGCTGAACTAGGTTTTAATTGATTATAATTTATAGCTATTTATTAAAATTTATATTATTTATTTATTTTCTTATTTTATTCAAATTGGTTTGGTTTGAAACTGATTAAAATTGAAACTGCAAGTCAGACACACAGCTTGAACACCTTTTTTAATTTAATTGTTAATTTTTTTATTTTATATTATTTATTTAATTGTGTTAATTTATTTGAATTAATTTGAATTTTTACACAAGTCGAGGCGGCGTTCGTCGGCGTCGTCGGTAGAAGACATACGCAAGCAAAACTTCTGCCAGCGCGCGTGACTGGAAACGTACTGAATTTTGTATTCTAGTCGGCGAAAGTAAAGTGCCATGAAGACCAAGGCGCTGCCGAAGTCGAAGTCTCAGTCTCGGTCTCAGCCAACGTCTCAGCTACTCCGGCTCTTGCTCCTGGCCCAGCTTATGCTTTTCCTGCTGCTTTGCTGCTGCAGTCAACGCCTGCCCACATAAGTGTGCTACGATTTCTTGCAAGCAGAAGCAGAAGCTGTAGCAGTAGCAGCAGCCCTTCTCCGATAACGAGGCTGCCTTTTCTATATACCCGTCCGCCGCACACGAGCGTTGACGCTTTTAAATATATGTATATCCCATATAATAATATATATTATTTATATATGTATTAGGCGACGCCGGCTGCGGCAGAGGCAGCAGATAATTTCCTACACGCAGTAAGTGCAAGTAAGTGTGCGCCTGCTCACACACACAGAGACATACGCATACCTACACGAAGAAGCGCTCCAAGGAGGGAGCTCCTGGAGCTCTCGTCTAGAGCCGACCGGACGAAAAGACTCGACTCGACTCGAAGCGAGCGGAGGGGATGGCGAACGGGCGGGCGGGACGGGTCGACCGTACGCGCGCGTAGCTTAAGAAGGACTAGAAGAGAAGAAGCAGGCAGGCAGCGGCCGCAGCAAGCTGAGCAAGTCCTTCCCGAGGACGAGCAGGCATCGGATTCGGAATCGGAAGTCGGATGCCGAAGTAGAAGCAGCGGATGCCGACATGCAGTTGCGTTTGTGTAGGTGTTGCCGCAGCCTCAGGATAATATAATGCACTCACTCACACACACATATGTAGGCACACGTACACAGGCAAAGGCATGGACACAGACGCCGGCAGAGAGAGGACGCAATTAGAAAGCATCAGGACACGAAGCAGCCGAAATTCAAAAACCGAAGGACCGAAGCCTGCGGCTGGCAATCTTCGTGTCGCCGGCTTCTGTCCCCCCACAAGGAGCATTCTCTTTTTCGTTCTCTCTCCCTCCCACCATAATGCTCCACCTCGCTTGCACAAACTCTCTCTGCTGGCGTCTTCTCCTCAGGATTCAGGTCTAAGGACTCAGTGAAAACACACACATTTTGCTTACCCGTCGTAGGAGTCGGAGCATCACGTGAGCAATTCTGCGTATCAAAATCGAGCATCTGGCTCCGTTGTTTTGAGTTCGTATAAAAAATATATACAAATCATAATAATACGTATATATGTATACTTATAAAAATGTTGCCAACAATCTTTTTGCTTTGTACTTTTGATTTTACGTTTGAATTTTGTAATATGTGTCTTTGACTTTTTAGTTCGTTCGTATATCTTTTGTTTCTTTTGAGATTAATGTCTTTTTCGGGTTTCTTTTTAATTGTTCGTAATTTTATTTGTTTTTTGTATAGTTTTTTCGTTTTAAATAGGTTTGTTTTAAAAACTAAAATGGGCTTATGTGAGGGAATCGTTGTGAACGTAGAAAAAAACAGCTCAAACAATAACAAACTGATAATCGTCGAGAGGTCCTGCCGGTTGAGAATTAGTCGAGACTTTCGGAGAGACGGCGAAAAAACACTTGAGAATCGTTATGCGAGTTAGTTTTTTTTTTGGAAGCCGGTAAAAAATGTTTCGATTCTTTTGAGCTCGAGACTTTCTTGTTCCTGGTTTCTGGACCGAATGAGTTTCTTTTTTGTGTTTATAGAAAGTTGAATGTTTTTTGGACACACGATCTATGAACGGCTTCTGGGTACATGAATTTTCTTATGATTTTTGTTCGAGTTTCAGATGCTGATTTTGGTTTGTTGCCTTTTTAGTTTAGTTTTGTTTTTTGTTTTTTTTTTTGTTTTTTAGTGCACGCAAACTTAATACTTAAAAATAAATGAAAACGTAATTGAAAAATCCGAAAATAAAAATTTGTTTGTACGACGACGTTGATGTGAAGCTTTGTACTAAAAATGAGAAAAATTATTTCGCCGCGAATAGGCCGAGGACGACCGCTGACGGTGTCGTTGCCGTTGTCGTTGCGTTGTCGTTGTATTTGCCGTTTCTGCCCCAGCCAGTGTGCGAATGTGTGAGTGTGTGTCCTGGGTGTGAGTGGGCATACATATATTGGCAACAGCAACACCAACAGCAGCAAAAAAATGTTTGCCCGCCGCAGCCGCGAAAAAATACGCGAACGCAGCCTGGGATGGATATTTCCAGGGAGGCATTGCAAAGCCAAAGGCAGCAACACACGCAAATACAGTGGGGCTTTGCAAATAAAATTCGCGGCAGCGACGCCGGCAGCACAAACACACCATCCTAGACCCCCACCCACAATCGCCCACCGGGCGAATCACCCACCCAAAAACAGGATACAGCGACTAACACTAGTGCAACGGAGGGGAGCTCACACGGATACATGGGTTCTTTGAGCTAGAGCTAGTGCGCATTTCAAATACATGGAGGGGCAAGCGCCTGCGTTGGCGGCGACTGCGGCAGAGACAGCGGCGCCAACATCGGCGTCGCCGCCAGTTGGGGCAGCTCAACAAAATGGAGAATGGGCTCTGCTGTGTGTTTGTGTGGGTGACTTAGTATTTTCATATGTGTGAGTGTGATTCCAGAGGAGTAGCAAAAGTTGTTTTCTTTGACTTTTTCATGATTTCCCTAAAAGAACTTGGTTCTCCTCAAGGATAGTACCCAAAAAGGATATTTCTATGGTCTAAAATGCATTCCATAAGGTGCTCATGTAATGAGTATAATCCTGTTGTGTATGAGTTGCCGTCGGTACCTGAGAACCTCCAACTTGTCTCAAATTTTGCCTCAAAATGGGGAAGTTACTCTAAACTATTATTATTATCTCCCTGAGCTTTTGCTTCATTTATTGGAGCGGGATTATCTCAGCACGTGCTAAAATTTGAGTGCTACTGAAATGAAGCTAACAAGTAGTTGGATGGTACTTATGTTTGGAATAATGCATAATATATTATTTATATACAAACTAAAAGTTAATATAAGAAAGGAAGCTTTGAAAAAATTGAAAATTTTTTTATAAAATATGTAAAAAAAAATGCACAAATAAAATAGCTAAAATAAACGATTTATGTATTTGAATAATATAAAAAAAACTGAATATGATAGAAATAAAACAAAGATTCATCCTATATTAAATTTAGAAAAAAAGTATTTCAGAAGTTTCAGAGTATTTCCATATTTTCAGAAATCTTTAAACAAGATTTTCCTCATTTCTCTGCTATTTTAAGCTTCTCCAAAAGACTTAACCTACCCAGTCAAAAGTTCTTAACATTTCTATTCAAAAATTCTATCTTGGGGCTCTATAATTTTCATAAAACCCATAAGTTTAAGGAACTTTTTTAGAGAAACATTTAAGATCGATCGAGACGTACAGGACAATTTACTGATGTTATTTATCCATGGCGGTGTTCAGGTTCTCTCGCGAGTCCACAGCTACTGTCTGTGCTGGCAGTTTGGTTTCGTAGAGTTCAGTGATCCTGGCGCGGCAGTTCGCTGGCCACTCTGGCATCTTTGTCTGCGTCGCCGTCGCCGGAAACGCGAAGCGGTACGATCGGTCCAGCCGGGCGACCTCTGTGAGCCGCTCCAGTGGATCGCAGTGTTGGGGCTCCGGTGGCTCTTCTGGCGGCTCTACTTTCAGTGGTTCGCAGTATCTTTTGGAGAGCAGCTGAATCGGAGTGAATGCAAACATGAGAGAGCCAGGATCGCAGTTTATAAAAATTCCTTTCTGTTGGTTTGGGTTTTACCAGGGTGCTATCGAAGCATCCTTTAATCTTGAGAAGCTTATGAATTTATAGATTTTGTGGGAAATATCATTTGGGAGACATTTTTGAAGGACAGAGGACAGCAGACGACGACGCAGACGAGTGGACGCCGTTGACTGAACTGGTTTGAGATCCGAAAGTCGAGGAATGCTTTTTAAATTTTAGGCTTAGGTCCTTTTAGTTTTTGTAATTTTATTGGGCAGCGATGATTATTCAGAAATCAATTGGAGGCATCGAAGGAAAAAAAATCATTTGGTTGCATTCGAATTTTGTTGGCTTTTAATCTAAGCAGTTGTTGTAAAGGACTTGCACACACACACGATTGAATACGAACGGAGGACACACGCGGCCGAATACATTTACTTTTTTTAGATGAATAGATTTTGTATATATTTTATTTCATTTATTGTATATAAATAGTATTTGACGGCACTCAAACTGCAGCTGAAGCCTCGCTTAGGAGGGCGGCTGGTGGGGTCGGAGGCTGTGACTTTGGGGGCGGCAAACGCGCGCGCACTTTGCACCCATTTATATATATATCTATATTCTATACCGTATATATATATATATATATGCAATATATATATTATATATATAATAATGCGGGCCCACTCCAATCCAATGCACTGCTTCGCACTGCAGGCGGGCGTGTGTGTGGGTGCCGGATGATTTTTTAGAAAATAAGCAAGTCCGAAACAGAACCGAACCGTCGACGACTTGGACCAACTCTGGACCAGCGGCTACCGTTCACCGTTTATTACTCGTTTGGCCAGCCAGCGAGGCGACTTCTTTTGCTCGGTGCGGTGCGTCGAGCCGAGAATATAAAAAAGCAATGTTCTACTCAAAAGACGTCCAAAAGCCGTATGCCAACCGATGCCTACCGATGCCTCCGATAGATGCGATGCGATGCGTTGCGTTGCGTTCGTTCGGCGTTTCATCATCGCGACACGGACACGGATACGGCCATAAACGTAGGGGTAGGAGTAGGGTGATGGGAACGGCTCCAGCAAACGACGACGCGTACATGGTTGGCACCTACCTAACCACCCATCCTTCCCTAGCCCATTGCCCAGAGTCCACCTCCATCGACAACCGCCAAAAAAGCTACAGACGCGCAAAATGCAGCGTTTCCCCACCCCTCACCACTCCACCACCCATCCAAAACAAAAAGGCCACCCGTCGTATGTAAAAGCAACTCGGTTTAAGTTTTTTTCCTTTGGCAAAAGTTCGCGCGCGCAAATCTCGCATACACACGAGTCTATGTACTCCGGTGGTGCCCACTCGATGTGCGAATGAAGCGCGGCCCGATAGGGCAGGGGTGGAGAGAGGCTCTCCTAGAGAGGGGGTGTCCTCGGGGGGGGGCGTCCCCGGTAGGTGGGTGGCTTTGTTCACCAAGAAATAGAAAAAACTTGGCTGCGACTCTACGCAACGTCTACCCACCCATGCCCAGACCCCCGGCAGTTTCGAGCCGACCAACCACGCAGGACGATGGCAGCAAGGAAGTGCAATCTGCCCCATCCTCCCACTCCGCCTGGCCTCCTCGTCTCCCTTGGTCATTACGAACTTCATCAGTATCATCATCATGGTCGTCCTGCTGCCAACGCACAAATCACGCAGACCTTCTGGGCAAGGAGGACGGAGGGGTGGGTCCTGTGAGCTAAAGGGCAGCAGTTGCTTGCTGCACGTGCTGGGCCTCCATGAACAGCTGCTGCATGGTGCTGACCGACCTCCTGCCACCCCCTCCTGGCCATGTAGAGGCCTGGCCAAGTAAATAAACTGCAGCCAAGCTCAGGGGGGGCTGCAGGCTGGGGGTGGGAGGCTGGCAAGGGGGGGCTACTTCTAAAAATAAGCCGAAAAGAGACAACCCAACCAAAAAAGAAGCAACCGACTCAGTCTAGCTCTTCCTGCTCCTGCGTATGTGTGCGTGCGTGTGAGTCCTGGAGTGCAATTGCCTTGCAGCGATGCATCCTTTCGGCTGCACTCGCAGCTCTCGCTCTTTCTCCGGCTCCGGCTCAGGCTCCGGTTGCGCAACTTGCCCTCTCTCTTTCTTTTGTTCTCTCTCCCGTGGCGCCTTCTCTCTCGCTTTTTTCCGAGTTTTCCTTTTTTCCCATCTAAACTGTGGCAAGTTGGCGTCGACTGCGATGCCAGCGCTGATGCTGGCGTCGATGCCGGCGCCACTGCCATCTGCTATTTACTATTTGCAGCAGCACTTGGTAAATGAACCACTCACCAAGCTCAAGCCCCCCAGCTGCCACCTTGCCGCCTTGCCACTGAGGCACTCAGCCACCTTGCTACCCGAGCTGCCCCTTCAACTGGCGTTGCTGCTATCTTCTAGTTGGCAATTGCATTGCCTGCAATGCACTTCTCCTGTTGGGGAAACAGGGAAGGCTCCGTGGCTGCACTGCGCATGTCCTTGTTTACATTATGTGCAAGGCTCCAAAACTTCGTGGGAGTCCCATCAGGCTATGTCTGTGGTGTGCCCGTGTGTCTGTGTGAGTAAGGATGTAGAAAAGCAAAAAGACTACAACTACAACTAAACCTGCACGCACACACACCACCCAGCCGATGCT